GTTACCAACATCTGGTGAAAATTTCATGTCATTAGCACCTCTAGTAATATATTTACTGAGAAAAATGGTGACGTGTTCAATACTTATTTTACCCGCTGTACGTTCACTGATTCATGAGATTATAAGACATTATCACCCTTTTCCTTTCGAGGTGAAGGACAATAAACAAAAACAATTAGAAGAGAATCAAATGATTACTTCCTTCATTGTTTCTGGTAACATCTATCATTTATTATTTGGCCTATAATTTATTTTTGTAACACAAGTAAAAACATTGGAACTTTCTTGTTTTTATGATTGCTTTTTGTCTTTTAGCCTGGTGATTTCCTCAGGATCTATAACCTGCGAGCCATACCAGGGTCCATTAAAGTGTCGGGCCTCACCAGCAGCAAGCCAGTGGAGGGGGATCACGTGACTTTAAATCTACACGGGGGAACGTCCTACGGCAAAGGCATCCGGGTTCTACCTGAAGACAACCCTGATGTGCAGAAGCTTAAGAGGTACAGATCTGGGGCCTCATGTATTGTGCGTACGCACAAAAAAGTTATGTGCGCCAGGTTCTACGCCCACGTTGGGATGTATTAAAACCAAAGTTGCGTGAAAGTGTGCGTAAATATACGCACACTTTTTACCTGCCGTGAGAATGTGTGGCAGCCACGCAAAGTTTTTCAGCCGACAGTTTTAACCCACAAAGTCACGAATCTGACCTGAATCCACAGAAATATGACTTTGTTGTGTTTTCTGGATGTAAGGAGCGTCTGAACACGGTGTTACATTTTTATTTTAGTTTGAGCTTTTAATGTTAAACTCGAACAATCATGAAACTGAACCCCGGGACTGAAAATCATTTAATCTCAGACAAGAAAACAGATCAGTCTAAAAATGATCAAAAGAACTTCAGTCCAAACTGTAAACTTTTTATAATGTTGTAGTTGGAAACACACGCAGAGCGCATGGCCTGCACACACAGCTGAGAAGAATAAAATGTGTGAATTGTCTAAGAAACATTTTTAATTTTCATTGAGAAAAATATGTTATCAACTCAGAATGTTCAGCTGTGATAATTCCTCAGCTCCACAAGACGCAATGGATTTGTTGCTGCGCAAAGTTGTGCGTATGGATCAATCAGCTGTTCCCAGTCCCACACTACAGCAGAAACTTGCAGCGCTGCGAGTCCAATGCATCACTCCCCCCACGTCATGTTGATGCTTGGTCAGGTAGTCTTTTGCTTCCAGTTTTGACGTGCCGGGTACCCCCCTGCGCGTCAGCTTTTTACGAGATGAGGCGGAGGAGGATGAGCGCGTTGTTCAATTTTTTTTTTTTACAAGAGCAGGAAATGCACTTTTCTTCACACCAACTTAATAAATATTTTTCTAAGTTCTACAAAAGTCATAAGTTCCTCTGTGTTTACAGTCATTTATTAAAGACGTGTAAAGGTGGAAATATCTCAGCCTCATGCGCCGCTGAAAATAACAGCACACACGCGTACACACCAACACCCACACACACTGTTGCGAGTGGCAAACACATTTTTACACCCCACTACTTATACAGACAATTTTCTCACTCATTCTCCATTTATAAAATAATCTGCATCTAAAAATCATTTCTGAGGACAATCTGAGGAGAATCTCACACGCTGGGCACATTTACATCTATTTTACATATTTAAATGGAGGCGTGTCAGGGGAGGTGTCTCAGGTGCGCTCAGTTCCACGTTCGTTGGGATGTATAAAAGAAAGGAGCGCAGAAATGTGTGTGTGCACAGTTTTATACATCTGAATTTTTTGGTGCGGCTCACTTTTCTAAATTTGTCGATACGCCAACTTTTAGTGTGAAAGCTGCACAATACTTTATACATGAGGCCCCTGGTGAAGTCGCTTTAGTGTTTGGGTCGTTTTATTGTTTTTTGTTTTTTTTTGTGGATGAAAACATTTTTTAAAACAGCCCTAAGTTATCAGAACAGAACTAGTTTTGGTAATTTTGTGGACCTCAGACCAACTTTGGAGGTGGACTGAACTTCTTTTAACTTTCAGATGGTAATAGTCTGAACACGGTCTGACCGCAGCCCAACTGAAGGACCTCCTTTGGAATGTGTACCTGAATGTAATTATTTATGAGCATGTGTGTTTGTGGTCCAATGTCCCAGAACTTGAGGTTCTTGTCCTTGTTGCTTTTTTTCTTGTAGAGTTTTTGAATCTCTCCCTAAAGATGAGGAGGATGACCTGAGTGACTCGAACCTGATTGAGATCTGGGGCACTCCACCAGAGTCTCTGGGTGTAACAGGTATCTGTGTCCAACTTTTCCAGTATGGTTCTCTTCTTTTGCATCAACTTGGATCTGCTAAATAAACACTTTCTAAAAAACTTATATAAATATTTATTACAAATTTTAGTACTCCTTTATAAAGACCCTACTATAACATAGGAAAGGATGTAAGTTGTGAGTGGACTTTGCAGGATCTTCAGGGCTTTCTATTACTTTTGAGTGTTTTAAGTATTACTACTTCTATGTAGTTCAGTTTTTAGAAGTGATTCTTAACCTATGGGCCGAGCACCACCTTGAGGGCCTCAAAAGAACAACAGTTTTTAACTTTGGGCCGCAGAGGGCCGTGGGATCACATTGGTTTTGAATAAGGTGCAATACACTTTCTCACCACTAGTAGCAGTAGTGTGCCACTCAGATGTTTAACAACTTTTTTAATATGTAGAAGAAGAACCTTAGAAACCTGCCGAGAATGGAAACTTGTTTTAAATTAAAAGTAGAAGGAAAAAATGAAGGCAACCTGTCAAAAAACACCAAAGTTTGTCACTAATATGAAGTGCAGCT